TGTTCAATTTCTTTTTTTTGAAATAGGGTTATTAAGTATTTTATTTCCCCTTCTGTTAATCTGGGCAATTTATATTTTTGTAAATAGTCATCCATTTCACTAAGATGTCAAATTTAATGGCATACAGTTGGGCAAAATAGGTCCTAATTACTGTTTTAGTTTATTCTTCATTAGTGGTAAATTCACCCTTTTAATTTTTGATGCTGGTAATTTGATTTCCTTCTTTCTTTTTTAAAAATCAAATTAACTAAAGGTTTGTCTATTTTATTGTTTTTTTTTTCATAAAATCAGCTCTTAGTTTTATTTATTAGGTCAATAGTTTTCTTAATTTCAATTTTATTAATTTATCCTTTGATTTTCAGGATTTCTAATTTGGTATTTATTTGAGGATCTTTTTTAGTTGCATGCCAAATTCATTAATCTCTTCTTTCTCTATTTTATTCATGTAAGCATTTAGAGTTATAAAACTTCCCCTTAGAATCACTTTCACTGCATCCCATAAAGTGTGGTATGTTGTCTCATTGTTGTCATTCTCTTGGATGCAGTTATTGATTGTTTCTGTGATTTGTTGTTTGACCCATTCATTCTTTATGATCAGATTATTTAGTTTTCAATTAATTTTTAATCTGTCTTTCCATAGCCCTTTATTACATGTAATTTTTACTGCATTATGATCTGAAAAGGATGCGTTTAATATTTCTGCCTTTCTACGTTGGATTGTGAAGTTTTTATGACCTAGTATGTGGTCAATTTTTGTGTAGGTACTATGTACCGCTGAGAAAAAGCTATATTCCTTTCCATCTCCATTCAATTTTCTCCAGAGGTCAACCATATCTAACTTTTCTAAGATTCTATTCTTCTCCTTAACTTCTTTCTTGTTTATTTTGTAGTTAGATTTATCTAGTTCTGAGAGAGGGGAGGTTGATGTCCCACATTAGTAGAGTTTTGTTATCTCTTTCTTCTTGTAACTCCCTTAACTTCTCTAAGAATTTGGATGTTATAGCACTTGGTGCATATATGTTCAGTAATGATATTACTTCATTTTCTATGGTACCTTTTAGCAGGATGTACTTTCCTTTCTTATCTCTTTTAATTAGGTCTATTTTTGCTTCTCCTTTGTCTCAGATCAGGCTTGTTACCCCTGCTTTTTTTTACTTCAGCTAAAGCATGATATATTCTCCTCCAGTCTTTTACTTTCACTCTGTGTGTATCCCTCTGCTTCAAATGTGTTTCTTGTAAACAATATATTGTAAGATTTTGGTTCTTAATCCATTCTGCTATATGACAGTTCATCTCATTCACATTCACAGTTATGGTTACTATCTGTGTCTTTCTTTCCATCCTATTTACACTTCATCTCCCCCCATTTATGCTTTTCTCTCTCCTTTCATCCTTTCCCTCCTCACTAGAGTTTTGCTTTGGACCACCACCTTTCCTAGTCTGCTTTCCCTTCTATCAGCCCCCTCCGTCTTCTTCCCCTTTATGTTTACTACTTCTTTCTTCCTTTTTAATCCACCCCCTCCCTCTTCTTTCCCTTTCCCCTCCTTCCTCCTATAGGGTAAGTTAAATTTCTATACCTGACTGATTATGTTATTCCCTCTTTGAGTCAAATCTGATGAGAGTAAGGTTCAAATAATGCTCATCTCCCTCCTTTCTTTACCTCTACTGTATTAGGTTTTTGTGCCTTTTCATGTGATATAATATACACCTCCTCCTTTCCTCTTCTCCCAGTAAAATCTTTTTTCACCACTTAATTAGATTTTTATCATCACATCAAAGTCAACTTATAGCCACGTCCACTGTCTATGTATACCCCTTTTACATGGTGTAATAACAATACAGTTTTCAAGAGTTACGAGTGTCATCTTCCTTTATTTGCCCTTATTAACATGTTTTTTTTTTCTTTCCTGTTTATCTTTTTATGCCTCTCATGAATTTTGTATTTGAAGATCAAATTTTCTGTTGAGCTCTAGTCTTTTCATGAGGGAGGTTTGGAAGTCTTCTGCTTCAGTGAATGTCTACCTCCTCCCTTTTAGGGATTATGATTATGCTCAGTTTCACTGTGTACTTGATCCTTGGTTGTAAACCAAGCTCCTTTGCCTTGCAGGATATCATATTTCAAGCCCCACAGTCTTTTCACGTAGAAGCTGCCAGGAACTGTGTAATCCTGACTGTGGTTCCATGATATTTAAATTATTTTTTCTGACTGCTTGCGGTATTTTCTCTTTGACCTGGTAATTCTGGAATTTGGCTACTATATTCCACAGCATTGCAATTTGGGATCTATTTCAGGAGGTGACTGGTGAATTCTTTTGGTGACTATTTTACCTTCTGGTTCTAGGACCTCACAGCAGTTTTCCTTGATGATTTCCTGAAAGATGCTGTCCAGGCTTTTTTTTTTTAATCATGTTTTTCAAGTAGACCACAAAATTGTCTCTCTTGGATCTATTTCCCATATCAGTTGTTTTTCCAATAAGGTATGTTATGTTTCCTTTCATTTTTCATTATTTTGTCTCTGTTAAACTGATTCTTGATATCTCATAGAGTCATTAGCTTCCACTTGCCCAACTCTAATTTTTATCAAATTGTTTTCTTCTATTAGATTTTATACTTCCTTTTCCATTTGGTCCATTTTACTTTTTAAGCAGTTCCCTTCAGTGAGTTCTTCCAAGAAGGCTTTTTGGGCTTGAAACCAGTTCATATTCTTCTTTGAGGTTTCAGATGTGGGTATACTGACAATGTGGTCCTCTTCTGAATTTGTGCCTTGATCTTTCCTGTCTCCATAATAAGAATCTTTGGTCAATGTTTATTTCTTCTTTTTGCTCATGGCATTTGCCTAATTTGTGGCTTTTAGAGTAAAGCTCTCCTGCTGGAGCACAGGGGGAACTGACCTAAGCTTCTTGTGCTAGGACCTGGTACATTGTCACTGGCTTTGTATGCTGGGTCCTGAGGTGCTGGCAGCTGGAGGTGTAGTGGTCTGGCAACTTTACCTAGTGCTGAGCTGGGGTCAGCAACACTGGAGCTCTTAGGGTGAGGTTGGGGAGTCTAGCCCCTAGGGTATGCCTGCTCACTAGGGTTTTGCACTTGAATATTTGGCTCCTGTTTACTTGGGCCTTGTACTCGAATTTTTGGCTGCTGGAGGATATCTGCCAGCCTGTAAACTGTGCCTCCTGGAGTTGTGCTGAAGCACTGGGAGATCTGGCTGCTGGAGAATGATGGTGCACATGGTGCTTTTCTGAGCTGGTGCCTACCAGTTCCCCTGCCTGTGCTAAGACATTCAGGGTTCCTGGTATTGGCGCTTGCCTGCTCCACCACCCTGGGGCTCAGGATCTCTCCCTGGTTTGCTGCTGGCTTGCTGAGATGCCTTCCATCCTATACTGCTCCCTGTGCCCCAGAGCGAGAGGGGCCTTTCCAATTAATCCTCCAAGCTTCCTAAGCTACAAGATTGCTGTACCCTGTCTTTTCTGTTGGCTTAGCTGTTCTAGAGTTTTTCTTTGGTTGATATTTTGTGGTCATTCAGAGATGAATAAGGGAGGGTGAGAGTGACTTACGTCTTACTCCACCATCTTGGCTCCCAGAAGCAGATCAAAATGGATCATTTTGACAACACTAAACTAAAAAGCATTGTACAAACAAACAAAGCCAATGCAACCAAGGTTATAAGGAAAGCAGAAGGCTGGGAAACAATATTTACAACCAGTGTCTTTGATAAAGGCCTATTTTTTAAAATATATAGAGAATGGAGTCAAATCTATAAGATCATAAGTCATTCTTGAATTGATAAATGGTCAAAAGATATGGTCAGGTAATTTTCAGAGGAAGAAATTAAAGCTACCCATAGTAATATGAAAAATGCTCTAAATCACTATTGATTAAAGAAATACAAATTAAAACAACTGTGAGGTACCACATCACACACATCAGATTGGCTAATATGACAAAAAAGGAAAATGATAAATGTTAGAGAAGATGGAGAAAATTGAAACACTAATGAAATGTTGGTGGAGTTGTGAACTGATCCAACCATTCTGGAGAACAATTGGAAGGGCTATAAAACTGTGCATACCCATTGATCCGGCCATACCACTACTAGGCCTTTATCCCAAAGAGATCATAAAAAGGGAAAAGGATCCACATGTAGAAAAATATTTACAGCAGTCCTTTTTGTGGCGGCAAAGAATTGGAAATTGAGGGGTGCCCATCAATTGGGGAATGGCTGAACAAGTTGTGGTATATAAATATAATAGAATACCATTGTGCTATAAGAAATGATGAGCAGGCAGATTTCAGAAAAACCTGGAAAGACTTACAGGAACTGATGCTGAGTGAAATGAGCAAAACCAGGAGAACATTATACACAGTACTAGTCACATTGTGTGATGACTGGCTCTGATAGACTTAGCTCTTCTCAGAAATACAAGAATTTAAGAAAACTCCAAAAGACTCATGATGGAAAATGCTATCCACATCCAGAAAAACAGTCTGAATGAAGATGAAAGCATACTATTTTCTCTTTTTTGTTTGTTTTTTCTTTCTCATGGTTTTCCCATTTTGTTCTGATTATTTTTTCACAACATCACTAATGTGGAAATATATTTATTAAGATTGTACATGTACAGCCTATATCAGATTGCTTGCCATCTTGGACAGAACGGATAGGAGGGACAGAGGGAGATAAAAACTGGAACTCAAAATCTTATAAAAGTTAATTTTAAAAATGGAGAAAATTTTTTTAAAAAATTAAAAAATGAATATCATACCATTGATATTCTATTTATTACTAAATGAAATATTAGCATTTGTCCACTTTCAGACTATTTTTTGTTGAAGAGTACATAAACTCTGCAGTCAGATATTGTCACATAAATTAGGAAATGACTAATCATAAGCAATCTTAAGCTACTTATACTTCTTAAACCATTGTAGCTTCTTCTCCCAGATGTACTTAAAATTTGATAATTTACATATTTGAATGCTAAATATAAAAATAGTGTACATACCTCCATCCATCCTTTGGAAGATAACTGAAAACTCCATCAACAACACTTGCAAAGAACTGTCCTCCTGTGATGAATAGTGTATTAACAGTAACTAATCTGCCTCTTAAATTGGGTGGAGAAACCTCCGCGATGTACACTGGTACTGTCATGGAAGCAATACCTACAAAGGAAGTGATGAAAAATAAACATGGCTTTCACCTTATATTACCTTTTGTTACAAATGTTAAAATTAGATGATTACATATGTTTGTGTAAATGCACACTCTTCAGTTCTTAGCCTACAACTTTCGCTTATATATGTGTGTGTGTATAATATATTACAGAACTGATTTTATAAATTTTAAAGGCTTTAGTGAAAATCTCTTAAAATAATAATTAAGGGGTATATAAAGAGATGGAAATGGCATATTTCTTACTGCAAATTGATAGAAGGATCCATGCAACATACAAAATTATTCATCAAATTTACTATATCACTAATTAAATGTGGACAACTGAAAAGAAAATGCATCCCCAAAATTTACCGTTCATACATAAATGTGTTTTTACTTTTATAAGTCTAAAAATATGAAAATGTATGAAGAACATAATTTACTCTATTATATCCACATGGAAATACAATCATAGTAGTGACAATGCAAAATCATTTCCTTTTTTAATGCTTACAGAATTGTTAAATGCTTATTTATAGACTTATTTATAGACAGATAGTGTCAGTAAATGTCAAACTGTATTCCTCCTAATTTCTACCAATTATTAGGAACTCAGTAAAACTATATAACCCATTATTATGGAATATGAAAATAGTCTTGTGATTTTATAGTTTCCCAAAAATATATCATTATGGACTGACAGAGGGGGAAAAAAAATCCATTGTTTCCACTCCCACATAATTTCTCCCATAGCTCTACGTTGCCATATTACTATTTCTAGAATTTTATTTGGTAATTACATAAAATATGTGAATGGTTTCAGAATTTGATGAATACTAGTTGATTTGCTCTAACCTATTTGAAACAATAAAAATAAGAAATGAATGTCCCAATTACCCTGTAGGCAGACTTAGCAACAGGAACCATTCAGACCATTGGCTTAACCTAGAATATTAATGAAAAATTTCTCTGAGCCAAAACCCATATACCTATGCATTTTGCAAGAAATTCAAAACCACTTCAAAGCCTTCAACAAAACAACCGTGCATAAAGAAAGGCATCAGATTAGAATTTGCAAGCTATACAATATTGGAAAATGATCGTGCTAGCAGATAAAAGGGACTGAAGAAATCTAGATAGACAGAATCTTAAAATATAGAGTTTCAAGGTTGCTGTGGTAGAAATACACCTCACCTGTATACTAGTCTGGGTCCTTTAAGGAAAAGGAAGTCATTTGGCTTCCTTGTTTTCTGAGGTATAAAAGGCCCAATCTATAGGAAGTTAGTGTTTTAGTTTGGAATTACCACTACCCTGAAGGAATGCACTCTCTGTTGCCCTGGTGAATGTGGAGGTAGGGGAAGTAGCCATTTTATCAGAATAATAATTTTTTTAACCATAAGAATTGTCTCCTTTTTTCCCTCTGTCACTAGTAGTTTTGACCTCATTTTAGGGTCCACAAATGTAAAGAAGAGAGGGCGTAGTTATTTTCTCATCTCTTCTGAAGGGGGAAACTTGGTCATTATAATTAGAGGTCAATTTCATTATTTTTAATTTTTCACTACATTCATTATATTTTATTTTTATGAGCAGCTGTGGGGTACTGGGCATCTAGGTAGAACAGTGGATAGAGCACCAACCCTAGAGTCAGGAAGATCTGACTTCAAATCCAGCCTCAGACACTTAGTAGTTATGTGACTCTAAGTAAGTCACCCATTCCTGATGAATAACATGGGCATGAATATCACTGCCAAAAAGAAGATAAACAGTGTTAGCAAAGATTATAAAGTTTTGGAAGAGAATCTAAAGACCACAGGAACACAGATTGTGTTTTCTTCACTGTAGCCTTTTTTTTTTTAAACATACTAACCCCTCCTCCATCCCTGCACTTCTTTCTCCTTCTTTAAGGAATATTAAGAAAGGGGACTGAGATAACAATCTGTAAGTACCAAGAAGAGTCCAGATCTCCCACACATACACACGCACACCTCAACAAAGAAATTAAATTGATTCTGAGGCATTTTATAATTGATTCTATCTTATAATTGATCCTATTCTGTATTACTGTCCCACTTTGTATGACTGCTCAAGCCACATTTCTTTGTCTCTTTGCCTATGAGTTAAGTTTAGAAATTCAGTTCTCCTGCTAATCAGTTTTATTCTTGCCAGAAGGAAATCTGTTATCCTTGAGGCATGCAGGCAGACACCAGGAAGTCTGGTCCACTAGTGGACTCAAACAATGAACATTTCTTAGTCACAGGAGTTCCCTCCTAGAAGTCAGGTAGTCTGCTATCCCTGGTCTACTATCAACAGCCTTAGCATGCAGATAGGTCCCATAAATCAATCAAGAACTCTTCTAAGACAGAAAAGGTTGACTGCTAGACCCCACATGGGTGCTAACCCACTTTTCTTGATGTAACCAATCATGCTGTCCTCACTCCCATAAAACTGCCACCCCTGTAACCAACTGCATTGTTTTTCCCACCTACTCAACTCTGTTCTTTGTTTTCTTGTGCTTCCCAAAACTATATAAAGGCTAATAAGCCCTACCTTGTAGTCTTTGTTCACTGAGGCCACTGACCCAATTTATTGGTTACTGCTAGCCTAACAAATAAATTAATCATGCTCAGACCACTGTCTCTCAGTTTACCATAATTTTCAAATGTAACATCAGTAAAATTTAAAAATTAACTAGTGTAAAAAGAAATAAGGAAAATCAACTATAGACACACGTCTACCCAGTCCACAGCAACATAAATGATAGAATCCTGTGGAAATGGTAGACTCAATGCTAAGCAGCCCCACAGAAACTTAAAAGGAGCTTCAGGAGGAAGCCAAGACCAGAGAAAGACCCTAGAAAGAACTTAGAATTGGGGTAGAGATGGAGAAAGACAAAGAGTCTCTGGAGCAACAAGAGAAAAAGGTCTCAGTAGCAGGGCTGCCCAGACTTCTGGCTACAGCAAAAGAAAAGTTCCAGAGCTGTATCCAAGAAGCCTGGACATAACCAGCATCCACACAGCTTGGGCCTGAACCTCAGCAGGAGACAAGACTAAATAATTCTTTGAGGTGAGGCATAGTCTTAGCCAACATGCTTTGGACCAACCAGGTCCTATCATAACAGACAGTTATATAGAGGCAAAGTTGGAATAAAGAGCAGTACCCCTCCCCCCACAAGCCAGATGCTAAGGCTACTGATACGTTCAAAACAAAGACAACAAATATAATGAAGAAATATTTTGGAATAAAAAAGCCCAAGGGATAAATCTCAAAGAAGATAATAGTCCCACCACAAATCCAAGTAGAATCTCAGAGATAAAAATGTTCTGGCAACAAGGATTACAAGAGTACCTGGAAGAAATGAAAAAAGAGGCACAAAATGAAATGGCTAGGGAGTAAAGAAAGGCAAGAAAAATTGAAACCTTGGAAAAGACAATAAGAAACATTGCCCAAGAATTGAATTTCCTGAAAATTAAAATGGGTCATACAGAAAATGACTCAAAGAGGCAAAAAAGAAATATTTTTAATCAAAATATTTAAAAATAAAAGAAAATATAAATAATATAATATTAAATGAAAATTACCTGGGAAAAGAAGTAAAAAATACAATCTAAGAATCACCAAATTATCTGAAAATCATGATTTTTAAGAAAACTAGCGTATCGTATTTTTTTAAAAAGTAAAAATTGCCTAGATATCATGGAACCATAGCTAAATAAATGCAGAAATAACCCATTGGTCATCTCTTGAAAGAAACCCTTCCAGGAATATCAAAGCCAAAATCCAGAGCATTCAGGTCAAAGAAAAAAATACTCCAAGAAACTAGAAAGAAAGTGGAATCACAGATCAAATCACACAAGACTTGGCAATTGTCATTATGTTTTATTTGAACAGACAAAAATGATAAAGGCTTTCATCCAAAAATAAATTGTAAAACTAAATATAATCCTACTGGAGGAAGTGGACTTTTAATGAAATAGATTTCCAGGTATTTCTGATGAAGTGACCAAAATTGACTAAACATTTGGAATTGGAAATGCAGGAACCAAGAAGAAAAAAACAGTGTACATATTTGTTTAACTGGAAGAGATTTTGAGGGGATGAGCTGTTTACGTGTTAATACGGAAATAAGAAAAAAAAATCTTCTCCGAACCCTTATATCTTCAAGGTCATAAAGAGTGGTAAATATGACAGAGTCTGGATTGTTGGTCTTACAAGAAAGCAGAATGGATAGAGGATTACAGGGAAAGAGGAAGGGGAGGAAAATCACTATCACAGAGGTGAAGAAGATAAAGAATATTTAAACCAAGGTGAAGAGATTAGGGGATAGGGCATCCTATGAACCTCATTTGTATCTGAACCAGACAAAGGAATATTAAACACAAATACTTACACACACACACACACACACACACACATACACAAACACTCCCCATGGTAAATCAAACTCAAAAGGGAAATAGGATGTGACAGAAAAATAAAGAGAGTGAAGGTAGGAGTTTAAGAGAGAGGGCATTACAGGTAAAGAAAGAGTCTTAAGCAAAACAAACTACCACATTGCAGAAGAGAAAGTAAAGGGAATTAAAGAAAGTAAAGAAAGAAAGGATAAAAACCAGGAATTGGGGATGAAGAAAGGGAAAGAGAAGAGGTGCAACAGAACAAAAATAGGTCATTTCATATATAGGTCGTATATGTCTGACACACTCCCTATCTTTTACCACCACCTGCTTATTTGTAAAGAAGGATGTAAGAGTAAAGAAAGGGAAAAAAAGTATAAGAAGTCAGTATGGACAGAAATACACAATTAGCAAAAACATCCGTTGATATTAATGGGATGCCTTCACTCATAAAATAGAAGACAACAAACTGATTTGGAAAATAGAATCCAACAACATGATGATCATAAGAGACACACCTGAAACATAAAGATTTGTAAAAAATTAAAATGAGGAACTGAAGCAAAACTATCACATTTCAGCTGAACTTAAAAAAGCAAGTATGGCAATTACAATTT